TCAACAGCAAACCCCTGTGTCTCCCAACCCGCGCCTCCACTCCTCCCAGCGTCCCAAAAGACTCAGTCTCCCATTTTTTCTGGAAGCCATCACAGTGGCTGGGGACACTGTGAGTAGTTATCCACTTGAACACGACTAACCTGACCACCACACTCTCTCAGAGATGTCTACGTGTGATCTTAGCCCTTCCATGCAGTGAAACATCAACGATTTAGAGTAAAAGCGTTTTAAGTTGATACATTCTTTCAAAGCTGAGTCCTAGTGGAGCATGGCCACGTCTTATTAAAGCCCACGTCTGAGCTCCAGCCCAGCCCTCTCTGCCATCGCAAAACCACAGCAAGTCAGACCTGAAGCTTTTGCCCTTCCCAGCTCGCCCCAGCAGGGTGCTGTGCAGGGCCAAGGACGAGCACAAGCTGACCTGTGCTGTGTTTTCAGGGTCCGTCACAGGCTGCTCACCTTGCCTTCAGAAAAGGCACAGCGATGCGAGCCCAGCTCCAATCCCTCCCTCAGCAGGCGCGAGGCTGAGCCCTGGCCCCCATCCACCTGGACAGCTGTGCCCAGCTGTGCCACTTCAGCAGGGCTGAAGCACTTCCCCAACAGCCCCAGCCCTGCCTCCAGCACTGCTGACCTCAGCACAGAGAAGCCAGGCAAGGCGGAAATCATCCCTTTTGTAATGCCTCACTTCACTGTTTGCCTTGGTTTCAAAACAGATCCGGTTTCATATTCTAATTCCCACCCCACGCCCCCAGAAGAGCCCTGCCTGCCAGAAGTGAGCTCTCCTGCTGCTTTCCAGATGGAAAATGATGTGCAGGAACCTCCCACCTGTAGCCATCACCTGTTAGAATTTAAGCAAACTTTATTTCTCATGTATTTTCTTTTAAAGTATGACTCTAGAGTTGTAATAGTGAACAGAACTCTCCTTTTCTACATCTGAAAAGAAATAGATGTTTCCACAGTGCTGAGCCAGCAAGGCAGGGGGGGTTCCTTTAAACTTCAAAAATGCAAGTGGCCCCATTAAAGAAGTCTGAGCTTTCTTACATGCTTGTAACAGAGGACACCCCAAAGTACTTTGCTGAGTCCAGGACTCATGCACAGTTTTTATGAGCAGCTACAGAGTGTAAGAAAATAGGAAAAAGGAATTGTGCTTCTGGTTTTCATCAATATAGTTCATCAAATTAAATTTTCTGACCAGCTAGCAATGAGCCACAGCTGAATATGGTTCACACAACAGCATCAAGGTCAAAACCACCCCGCAGCCCCAGACTGAAGGCACAGCTATCCTGGTACTCCATTGCTCCCTAAGCATTACCTGGGAGTTAGACAGTAAAACAGAGGAGCCCTTAAAAGGCTGCTGCAAAGAGAAAGGTTATAAAGAGATTTCTATACCTATGCTTGACATCACAAGTAGTACTGAGCTGATGTTGCAGTCAGGAAGCTGGAGGTGTCATTAGGCAAATAACATTTTCAGGTGTCTCAGCATTTCAGCTGAGAGGGCAAGTTTAGTTTCAGGGCAGATAGTCCCAAGAACATTTTGGGATCTCTGCCGCAGGCTAATTTAAAGAAGTCAGAAAAACACCACTCAGATACGATTTAAGTGCAGCTGATCGTGCCTCGGACTGAAGGATGAACAACACAACTTCTTGGGGTCCTAGGCCTTCCAATTCTATGCTAGGCTTGAACATAAATGTTAGAATATACATTACTACATAACATTTTTTACATATTAATAACTCTCATCATCATTCAGACAGAATTGTCATGCTAAACGTTATGGTTTTCCCCATATTAACCCAACCAGAATGAATCAATGTTTTATTAGCATATTTTAAAATAACTTATAATATTTCATTACCCTCTGCAGTACCTTTTTTGCCAGTAGAACATTCTTGTCATTGCCAACATAACACTGTGTCAGTCCTTGCCAAACAAGAACTGATTACCCAAGCCAGTTTTTTCTGAGAACAAGGACCACCTTGTCACTGACAACAGACACCAGAAAAAAATCCTCCTTCACCCCAAACGCAGCTGTCAGCTTACAAACCCAGCCAGTTCTTTGTTCTTTTTCCCAGAATAACCCTTTCTTGCCACATTGTCAGACTGTTCTTTCAGAGCTGTTAGCCAGCATAATACTCACCTTAGGACCACATCACAAGCCCTCTCGAGAAATAAAAATGAACATATTCTTTCACCTGAAACTTGTGTGAAGATGTTCCTCTGTGATTTGTCATTGTTGGCTGTGCTCAGCTAAGGTTGACTTCTCCCTGTTAGCTTCCAGAAGGACCCCAAGTCATGACCTCCGCAAGGCAGGGAGACTTACACAGCTGCTGACAACTTATTCATACAAAATCCTGGTCCAGAGAGCAGCTGAAATCCACAGCAAACTGTAATGAATTTGTCACCCTGTATAACTAGGGGTTCTACATTCAGCATTGTTTTTTTACAACAGACACACAAAATTCACCTTTGCAGGAAAAAAAAAACATCAACTGTCTGCTCTCCATTGCAGAACCTGGTGTGTAGCAATATGTATTGGGTTTGGAGCAGGAAGGTCCAGAAGGGAGGAGAATTCTCAGTGGGAATTTTAAAAGGAGATAACAGAAGGGTAATAAGATACCATCTGTATGTTCTCCCCACCAAGTTTTCTTTCAGCATTAGAGAACAGCAAACTTACCACTCTGATACACAGGGGTAACCAGATTTTTACATACAGATATATAGACAGAAATGTTCCCTATCTCATGTATCTGGACCATCTTTAAAACATACAACTACAACCAAAGGCAAAAACTCTCAACTACACTGCTAACTATCCCCCAGCTTACTGGGGCATTCCAGACCAGTCACAGGTTTGTTTTCCATGTGTTATTTCCGCAAAGGTTCGACAGATTTTGTAGCGTACCAGGAAAGGGGAATGCAAATAAGATGCTATTTATTTCTAGGTAGCCAAAGGATTAGCTTGGAACTATTTTATAGCATTCTTTGTATGAAAACGTGTGATTATAAGAGCTGTTAAATAAGTAAATAAAAAGACGAGGTTAAGTGGACTAGACAACAGAACTTGGAATAACTAATTTATGATAATGTTTATTGCTGGTCTTCCTTAGGGTTCACTGAACAGTAATTTCAGGAATAGCTTCTTCCTTTCCCTTAGCCTGGGTCTCATTAGTCATGTTCCAAGGCAACAGGTTTCCATGACAGCAAACATTAAGTCTCTTGCAGCACAGCTACAAACACTAAGCTTTCACTACTATACTTCATCCTAGACCAGCTATCTTAACAAAAAAAAAATCCCTGAAAAATCCTAATAGACATTTAAATCAACAGCTATATTTTATTTGTACTCTGATTTTGCTAAGGAACATGCACGCTATTGAATTCAGTAGGAATGTCGTCAAATTCCCCAGAAGGATGCTTTTACCTGGCCTGAGCTCAGAAGTTCTTGGCAGCCGTCTAAAATAAAAATATAATGATGTAAGGTGATGATGCAGGCTCCATGCTCATGAAGGCATCATATAAAGTTAATGAAAATCCTACCACAAGGATTAGTTGCAGAACTGAGACCTTTGGGTTTAGTAATGTTATGAAGGGTGAGAATAACATCCCCCTCGCACAGGAGCTGTGCTCACAGAAATATTTTCAAACGCACTTTCAGTGGAGTAGGATGTCATGGACAGGCACGGATAGTTTTCTCTCACTATGAACTGTATTGAGCCTTGTTATTTTGAGGGGACTGTTGATTGAATGTCTCTGGGTATCTTTGAAACCCTCTCTCACACTGTTAAACTCTTCTAATCTTTCCTTACAAACTAATCTTTGTAGCACAAAGCAGCTGGCACAACAGGCACACCATGTTCCAATGACCTTTTGCACTAGGGCAAGGAAACCGTACTAATCCCTTCACACTTCTCAAGTCGACAGTGGATACATCAGTCTGGCAATGCTGGTTATTTCAGACGCTATACTTGTATGGCTGGCACAGGTACCCCTAGCTAACGTATTATTTTTTTTCCGTAAGGAATTATTGTTCATTTGAAATGAGAAAGAAGTCCTGCTGCTCTTCTTAGAACGACTGAAAAGACAGGCCTATGATGTCCTTATTCATACCAAGAAATCTTTTAGGAACTCCTGTTCTGATATACTCCAGAATTCAAGCAACGTGACAGTTAGAAGAGTCAGAGAATCACAGCATGGCTCAAAAAAAGAGTAAAAATGAAACTACTGAGGATTTCAGTGAAGAGAAGTCACTTAGAAAAGTAAAGAGCGGAAAGAGCCTCTTTGCACATTCTGAAGTGGCTTCTTAATCAATTAAACACTCTACTTTAAAAAACTTCATTTCAAACCACGGGAAAATAATATAGAACTCATACAATTTCATTAATTTACTATAAAATCAAATGTCTTCAGAGCTATTAAAAAGCCCTTCAGCAATTTCACTATTTTTTCAATGCTGAAAGTACGCCTTTGACATCAATACAGAGAAAACAGATGGATAAAGTAATTATAAAAAGAGCAGCATGATGCTATGAACCAGCTTATCACAGTTTTGCTAACAGACTAGGTAGGATAGGCAGAAAAGTGGGCTGACAATTATCAAAGTCATTGTGTTGTGTCAAAGCGCTTCCACCCTCCAAAAAAAATCCACAAATCCCCTCCCCAGTTCCATACAAACAGACTGGAAAGGAAGGAGCGATGAAAATATAGAATAAGCATGCAGGACACTTAAAGATTAGAAAAATCCCTGAAGGCAAATACTGACTGTATATCCCGGAAATCAAAGAAAGTATATGTTGAAGGGAAATGCGAATCAATGCTCAGATCATTCTGGCATATTTCTCTGATAACTTACCAGAGTAGCAGTTAGAGCAGTCTTATTAGCCGACTAGAGCAGCAAATAGAAGGAAGATAGAGAAAGAAATGGGCTGGTCCAAAAGGAAGTGTATTCTTATACTAGGTAGGTTAATCTTTTCGAAACAAGCTTGTGAAATCAGGGCCCACAACAATTTTGCTTTTAGAAAAAAAATTATTAATAGAGCAGAATAATCATTACATTCAAAATAATGGACATTTGTACAAAAGTAGAGTCATATGGTCAGCAGGGGACCAAAACTAGTAAAAATACCTCTTGAAAGTACTGTCAAGACTAACATTTTATGATGACAAAACCTGTAGCTAAAAGACATGGTACAAAACAAGTGTTTAGTCCAGCAAGGAGAAAAGAAACTAGATCAAGGGGAATAACAACTCTGAGAGACTCATATGCAGAGTAATGCGAGTACAGAATTGTTAAACCCTCTGCTACATTAGCTGACCTTCATCTTCACCATTATACAAACTCCTTTAGTTATTGGTTTTTGGTATTTCTCCGAGGATCTGGCACATTGGGAAGCAATTTCAGGAGGTACATTTTACAGGTGCATACAGCAGTTCTCTCTCCAGGTAGTTTTAACATTAAAATGCAGGCTTGTTCATGTACTCTTCCACGGTCTGGGGGGGGTGGGAGAAAAAGAGAAACAACTGATGCATTATGGAGCAGTACAGTAACATTCAAACAAATCCTCTTGTCCTCTTTGAAGACAGCTGTAGTTTTGCATGGAATTAGATCAGATTATTTAAAATGTAGAAATAATTCTGCTTTAAAAACCTTTAACAGCGTGTTAGAATCTGATCTTCAAATCACAACATACCATGGTTGTGGCTAAATTCATCATGTCTTGCTGGCCTTTGTACATAGCTGGCTTAGTTTCATGTGAAAATGCCAGACCACCGTGAAAAACTGACTCACGTAGTGTGTCCCTAGCTAGTTCTACCAGCGTGCTGTTTCCTTCAGTATTACAATGGATCCTTCATTACCTAGGAAAAAATGAAGTAAATCCATCACAGTCAACTGCTTTTGCCATTCTTGGCTCAATGGTAAAACTTACAGAAGAGAATTCCTGCAGGGTTCTGAATAAAGGTTATGTATCTGTGCCCTGTGGAAAAACTACACGGGTGTTTATGAATGAAAGTGGAATTTGCCAGCACATACTCTTTCTAATTTTGAATGTTAATGGTGGGACATCTGCTTCCAATGTATTAGTGAAACAGAACTGATTTTTCTGTATTTATATATACATATGTATATATAAAATATAATCTTAGATTATGTTCTTAAATTATATAAATAACTTAGATATGTCTTAATATAATACCAAGAAACTCTAGCAGCTAAACTGCGAGAGAACAGCAGCAGTATATAAAGAGCCTCCAGATGATTCCACAAGATGCAAGAAGGTTGAACTGAAAGCTTATGTAACTGCTACCTTTAACTGCATTGTTGTATCTACTAAAACTGAACGTAAGACACATTTGGATAATTAAGTATCAGAAGTGCTTAGCTGTATTGTAAGCTCCTGTCAAACAAGGAAGATGAGGTGTTTGCCTTTTGTCTTCCTCTGCCTTACCTCCTGCAACATGTCAGAGTCTTCTATGGCTTTCACTGCAGACTTCTTTGAAGTTTCTTGTACTTCTCCACCAATTATAAACTCATCAAGAATAAAATAAGCTTTTTCAAAATTAAAGATAATATCCAGCTCGCACACCTGCCAGAACAAAAGGACACCCCACATTTAAATCACTTTTACAGCATAAGCACTACTGGGCCAAAAGTTGTTAAGGTGATCAAATGTATTCAACATATGCACTCTCACAGCAGGCAGCAGGGTGAAGAAAGATACTGTTTAGTATGTAATCTTGCAGCTTCTGCAGATGTTCTCTTCACATACATAGCCTAGACTTACAGCAAAGATCTTACGCTTATTATATTTTATATAATACACTACATTCATACTGGTTTTCAGAGAACACAGCTAACTTCCTAGCCTACTAACCTTATAAGAGGTTTTACACAGCACCCGTAGTACGGGTTACATACATTCATGCAAAGTTTCACAGAGCAGGACAAATTCCCTGTCCTAGTGACCTTAGAGTCACCAGCTGCTTTTTGTTTTGAGGCGGTACAAATGTGAGTCATGGCACAGTGATTTAAAAAAGAGATGAATTAAGGTAGTGGGAACAATTTCAAGAAAATTTATAGAAAAGATGGGTCTCTTGTAGTCTTTAAAGGCATACTGAAAGACTTATTTGGACCTTCTTCAGGTCTTTTCTTTAAAAAAAATCTCACTTTATCTTTTTCCTCTTTATATGTCCTTAATTGTTACGTGATATTACGACAGAAACAAAACCAGTATATCTGAAGATGTCAGGAGAGAGAATTATTGTCACCCAGGGTTTTTTAAGTAATTTTTGTCAAGTTTTCCCCTCAAATTCTATTCCAAGACGGACATACAAAGCATCAGGATTAATTGGAGAGAGGGGAAAAAGGACAGAAAAACAATCTTATGATTTTATTTTATAAAATAATCTAATAATTAATTTCACTCTGGATTGAGTCTATGAGACAAGTAATGCAGATAGAAACATGAAGCAAAACTGCTTCAGATAACTCCTTGTTTATCAGACAGCCATTTTTTTGGAATGCCGTTCATGGGAGAAAGTGAAACCTACGTTTCCAAAGTATCTGTCCAGAAGTTCTACATATCGATGAACGACCTCTAGTGTCAGGAGCTCATTATCCTGGTCTTCTATTGCACAGCAGAAATACAAACTAGCATACCTAGGGAAACAAAGGCAAAAATGTGAGAGTGAACAGCTGGATCCTCAGTGCTCTGCTCATCTCTTGGAAGTTATGCAAATAACAGTTAACGTCTATCTGGTCTCTAAAATAGCAATTTTCTTTCATTGTTACAGTGTCCCAGAGAATGCTTAAAAAGATCAGATAATTTAACCTAATTAATAATTTCGTTAGAAAAACGAGCTCCTCCCTTTGCAAAGGGGGTTACCTCCAACAGTGGTCTTATGAAAACAAACAGTAAATTGGTAATACTCTAAGGTCTCCCTCATCTGCTGCAACAGCGCTACAATAAGTGGGGTTAATTAAACTGTAGAATGAGTTACTTCTCTTTATTTAAAAAAAAAAAAAAGGGGGGGTCAAAAATAAAGGTGGAAGCAAGTCTGCTGGCTATCAAATGACTGACACTGATTTATATAGGGCCAGAAAGCATGAAACTGCTTAGACCACACAATCTAATTTGCAGCAGTGTGCTGTACCTTAATGCTACTTTTGTTTTCTACAACTTTACAAGAATTAACAGGCAGTTAATGCTAGGCATCATGTAACTGAGGACCAGTGATTTGTTTGGAAAAGGAATTAGGAATTAACACTTTCCAGAGCAATAAGTATTTCAAAGACAAAATTTGACAAAATGTTGGAAGTGCCTCAGAACAGTTCATGCAACCTCCACAGGAGCCTGATAAAGCCCAGCACATGGCTCAGCAGGCTACTTTGAGGAAATAGGAGCAGTGAAGCCTAAAACCTACTAACAGAATTTCAACCAGCAATACTTATTAGGTTACTCCCATTTTTTTCATTTGACAGACTGTACAAGTATTTTCCACCCCACAATTTACCCTGCTGGTTTATCCAGGGACACTGTGCTGTTATACACAGACTGCCATTGGCAGGCTCCTACCAGCTTAGTCTAGCTTAGGGTTGTTTGCTGTTTTTCTTGAAGTGAGCCTTTATTTTCTTCTTCCAGCATGTTATTTATATGAAGAGTAATTATATGTTCTCATAAAATTACTCACACCTTTTGTAAACAAGCTTGAGGTCTTTCCAGTCAACAAAACTACTTGTTTTTTGATTGCGAGACAAAATAATCTGAACAATTTCTCGAATGATCTTTTTCTTCTCTTTATCAGGTAGCGT